GTGCGGTCCCGGCGGCGGGAGCTGGCCGGGGGTGCGCCCAGGTGTCAACCGCTGGGATCCAGCTGCCGCCAGAGGCATTGTGGGTTGCTCGAGCGATAACGAGAGAGCGCCGCTAATTACCATGGGTTGTCCCCCCTGTCGTAAAGAACGTCCCTGAGTCCTCTTCGTGGGGAGGGTCACAGATGCCATCCGGCATCGCGGCGCTCAGCCCTCACCGGTGAATCCCTGCTTGGTGCCGTCAGAAGTTGGTGTTTCCCGGTGGTTCGGTGAAGCCCTTTGTTTCCTGGTCCAAATAATGATTCCATTCCGTTTCCTTTTTTCCATCATTGTGTAAAATCTTTGTGGGTTGGTTCCCCCCCTCCCACCCCCCAACAAAGCTGTACCATTGCATCTTTTGAGAGCGTTCACTTTTAAATCCATTAGAATTTATCTAAAATAGCGGTTTTCAAAGGAATCGCGGGGCGTTGCGGTAACTACGGCACGCAGAGCAGCACGGCTGAAGAGGGCATTTTATTCGAAGATTTTTATTCTCATTTTTTCTCCCCTGTTACTTTAAAAATACTTAACGCACATTTTCGTCTCCATCTCCGCAAACAGAAACCAAACGGCTCGGGAGGGGGGTTCCCTTTCGTACCTGCTAACTCCCTTCGGTTTATCTCGAGTCCTGGCTGTTAGGAGGAGCTGAGTGGCAATCAGTCTTGCGGAATATATCACAAATTGGCGTGTTCATCTCAGATGGGTTTCTCTCTTTTCACCGTAAATCCAAGTGAATTTGCAGTTTGCAAACTAGCAGGCGTTTAAAGCCCCGCTTACTGCAGAGCCTGTGCCGAACAGCGGTTTCATTACCGGTCACTTTATAAATAATAAAATTTTAATCTGAAAGAGAAAAACACGTACGAGCATCCCCATTCGGCCGCACGGATTATTGTAAGCTTTATAATGTTAAACAAATGCAAACGTAAATCTTTTTTGTCAGTTGTTGAAATATGGAAACTCTCCAAATGCAAGGTTCCCGTAAAGTAATCAGACTTTTCTTTTTTTTTTTTTAATTAAAAATTAAGATCCCACACGTATATTTTAAATTTATTTCACTACCTGGTTTTTTTTGGGTTGGTTTTTATTGGACTCCTTTGCAGCCAGAGCTCATATCCTCCCCAAAGGGTTTTATGAGTCGCGTTATGCTTGAAGTTAGAGGCGGATTTAATTCCATGAAACTTCTGCCTTTTTGTTCGGGCGTTTGCAGGAGGAGGGGGGGTGTGGGGTGTGAAAACCCCCCCAACGCAACCCCAACCCACCCCAACCCTGCCATTTTAATGATTTAAAATATTGCTCCGTGGACAGGTGACCGTCTCGGGGCGTTTACAGGGGTATTTTTGTACCCGTGTTCTAAAAGATACGTTTGGGAAACCGGTACCTGCTCTCTGCCCTGGCTGCGTGGGGAGGAGCGGCAGCGTTCCTGCTGGAAAAGGAGGAATGTCGGCGTGCGGGGATTTATAACCGCTGCAAAAGTTTTTTATGGCTTGCTTCTTGCTTCGAAAGAATGAAAGGCAATTTATGTTTGTCGCAGATTAGTCTCAAATGTGTGCTCCCTTTAATTTTGTGTGCATACGGTGGTTGTACAGAACAGAAGTACTTCTACAGCTCAATACTCTCAACTATTTTAACAGTATTTTTATTTTTAAGCCAAATTAACTCAGAGTAGAATACGCACTTCAGACACTCCAGGTGATTTTAATGAGCTGTGCGGTTTATTAGAAAATAAAATATCAAAAGGTATTCCTGAGGTATTTCAATCACCCATCGCTCCATCTTCCAGGAATAAGTAAATTCAAATCCCGCTCCGGGAGCGCGAATGCGAGGATGGTCGGGCTCCGAAGGGAACACGGCCTTCTCGAAGGGAACGTGCAGACGGGTGTTGGGGGTCTTGCCGTCCCCGTCTATCGTGAATCCTCCAGTTTGCTGGAAATGCCGCTTGGGAGGAGGCACCTGCCTGTCTCCAACGGAGCAAACACCTTAGACAAGGTCAGGTTGGGGGTTGGACTAGATGACCTCTAGGGGTCCCTTCCAACTGTTTGGAGTGTTGAATGTTTGGTCCCTTCCAACCCAAAATATTCTATGATTCTATGATGATTCTATGATTCTGTTTAGGCTGTAGGTTGTGCCCCGCTGCAGCACCGGGCTTGATGATGCTGAAGGAAGTCTACGCCTTTATAAAGGGACTAACTAGGTTCTGATGTACTTAGTTGAGAGGGCGGAAATACCGGCGCGTTTCTCTTAAAATATGTATATTAACATGTTCTCAATGTGATTTATGCACTGGAGATGGAGATTAATGCGGCAGCATTTGTGAAAGCAGTTATTGTTGATTAATTCATAAGTAGTCTTGTAAAAGTTTCAATGATAAATGGTAATAAATATATTGTACCGGCGCCCCTTTATTATAAGAAATGGCTACGAGTTTGGAAAACAAAGTAAATTAAAGTAGGGAAACAATCAGTGTTTAGAAAATAATGAAGACTTGTGCTAAATTCAGGATGGGGAAGGTGAGGCTCTTCTAGGCGTGCCCCGCATCCCAGGCCAGGCTGCGACCCCGCGGCCGGTCTCAGCCACAGCTCATCACGGCAGTGACAAACTGGAGACAGGCCTGGAGCCGAGCTGGAACTGAAGGGCTGGACTCCGAAAGCTTGGTCTGAAGGAAGGCTCAAGCGGGGGACGGCCGTGTCCCCCGCCAAAGCAGCCCGTTCCCCGCGTGCCCCGGTGCCTGTCCCACCGCCCCGGGGACTCAGGGCCACTCAAGGTTGGCTTTGCCCAGTGTGCTCACGGTGCCCTTGGTGGGGCTTCTCCCGCCTCTGGGGTTTTGGGAGATCACCCTCATCCCAGGTTCTGTAGCTCGGACGTGTCTGCCCACCCACGGTGTGTCCTGCCTCTGCGGGCAGTGGGACGGGGGGCCGGGTCCCCCCAGCTCTGCCCGCACCCCGGGTCCCCCCAGCTCTGCCCCTGCCCTGTG